CTAAATAATCCTGCCGGTGAGGATACATCAAAGCGTAGTAGGGATCAAGACAATGAACAGATCACAAAAGGAAGGAAGAGGATGAAAAAGGTTGGTGTGCTAAACATCTTTAAATTTTTTTGTGTATTAACTGATGGATAATTTGATCTAATTATATTATTTTTGTCACAGGAGAAGGTTGGGAAAAAAGCAAATGTGAAGTCTGAACCTAAGGAGTTGACTAGGATACGGGTCTCTCCAAAGATATTCTCTGATATGGTCTTGTCACTCTCTGAGTCCCAAAAAGAATGGGTGAGACTAGCTGGACTTGGAGGTCTTTTACAATTTGGATTAAAAGAACTGCCACATATGTTGGGGTACCAGATTCTACAGTCCTTTGACAGTGAGGCCGTTGCGCTTAATCTTCCCAGAGGATCAATCAGTATCACAGAGGAAGATGTACATCAAGTGATGGGATTACCTCTGGGCAGGAAGCGTATACCAGCCTTCAGTATTGGGAAGTCAGCATTGGTGGATGAATGAAGGGCTCAATTCACAGACAGTGTTGGTTGGAAAATTACTCCAGGGGCTGTTTCTGAGAAACTAAAGTAGAGTTCTGATGTTAACCTACTTTTTAAACTGAATTTCTTGGTTCTCTTCCACAACAGCATGATCCAATCGCTTAGCAATCCGTATGTCAACCAACGGATTCTAGTTCTTAGTGACAATGTTGATCAGTGCTCTGAATACAATTGGTGTTCTTTCTTGCTTGACTCAATGATAGAAAGCCAACACAAGTGGAAGGTAGACCCGACAAAACAATTCTACACGGGTCCTCTTACATTTTTGATTGTAAGTCACTTGTATAATATTTATTTATTTTTACATTACGGTAGTTAAAGTAGTTTTACTTGATGATTACTAATTGGTGTGATTTATTTCTTATCTTCGTCTTTCTAGCTGTTCTATGCCGATCGGGTTTTGTTCAAAGGGAGGAGGTTGGTTGAGAGAACAACTCCTATATTTTTAGGCTGGACTGACTTGGCCTTGAAGGAAAGACAGGCAAAGGAAATAAGTACAAACTCATTTGGCAAAGGTGCATTTACAGAGAGGGTTGAACTTGCACCTTCATCTCGAATGCAGAGTGGTACTGGAAACTCGCCTAAAAGTGTTGAGACAATTCGAAAGGTTAGAAAATTAAGTTGCAAGACTTTGTTTATTCAATTTCATCTCGATTTAGTAGGAGTGAATCGAGATTCACTTAAACTGAATCTCGATTCAGTTCAATGAATCATTTTACTAATACTGAATCTCGTTTCAGATCAGTGGTTATCGATTAAGTTAAACTGAATTCCGATTCACTTAAGTGAATCTGGATTCAATGATACTCAATCTCGATTTACTGAAGTGAATCTGGATTCACTGATACTGAATCTCGATTCACTAAAGTGAAACTGGATTTACTTTAGTCGACTCTGGATTCAGTCATTTGAATCTCGATTCAAATACATTGGATGTAATCTCAATCTATCGAATCTAGTCTCTCGCCATGTTAATAATTTATGGTGACCAATGTCTGTGATATTCAAACTGCAGGATTGTATTGAGAGGGTGCAACGAAGAGCTGCAGAGTTGGAATCTGCAAAAGGTAGATATGATGCAGAGTGTGAGACAATGAGAAAGCTGTTCCCCAATGACAAGGAGCTCTTTCAAATTCAACAGAGAGTTTCAAATGTTCTTGTGCAGGGGTGTGGACATCGTGGAAGTACCTGTGACAATGAAATAGCTAGGGGAAACATTGTTGATGATACCCCTAATGTGAACACCGAGGTGAGTAGAGATATGCATGGTTTCCCTGTTGTTGATCCAATATCAGCTGAGTTACCACAAACACAAGTCTCCCCAAATTTTATTCAAAAGGTTGATAAGATTATAGAGTCTGTTAGCATGGGTAAGGTTGACAGACCAATGAGGCGTAAGCTCAACGAATCTGGAAATGCACAGACTGAAGAACCTAGTTTTTCTCTTGGGCTGACACAGGATACTCCGACTAAGACAGTGGAAATGGTTGATGTTGTACAGATTGCTAGAGCTTGTGAATCTGAGATCATTGATGACTCTGTAGGAATAACTAATAAACAAGCTTAAGATGCTGCTGCAGTAGATGAACGTAAAGGTAAGAAAGTTCAGGTGACCGAAAATAAGGAACATGCGGGAAGGGGGAAAGAAAAGAGGATGGTGAAGCCTGTAACGTCTCTTCGGTCACCATGGGTGCAGAGGGTATCTGAGATTACTGCTAGGCAAAGTTAGCTGGAAAGCATCATATGGAACTGGGTGCATAGAGAAGAAGCAACTAATGTAGATGATGATTCTGATGAAGAAGAGAATTTGTGAGTTCATAAATCTTATTTGATCTTTTATTTTTAGGTGTGAGACTCCCTGTTTTTAGTATTTTGTCCCTTTATTAAATTGAATATTGTTACTATTTTTTCAGTGAAATGGTTTTTAAGTGGAGACAAATTGAATGTTTCTTACCTGCTTTCACGACTTTCCTTCCTTCTGAGGACATTGAGGCAAATTTAATCAGCATTTGGTCCTATATTTTGAACAACAGAGAAAAAATGAAGTCTGAAAATTCTCCACTTAGATTCTTCTGCAATGTTGAGACAACCATACGTATCTTTCTTTATTTAATTTAAAATAACACTTGAATTACATCTTATTTAACCAGTTTTATGTTGTACAGTTTTGCAACATTCATTGGACAGATGAGTCCAATGATGAATTGAGATACAGTAGGTTTGCTTCCCGGATGGATGAGCAACTTGCTCTGTATCCACATATGAAGTTTAATGAGATTGATATGGTAAAGATTTGAAGATAATGTTTTTGTTCTTTAACCCAATTTTAACTATATCTGTAAAAACACTGATTAAATTTCACAACCATTAGGTCTTCTTCCCCATAAATGCGTTTGAGCATTTCTACATTGTGTGCTATGGGCTAAAGAATCGAAGTATGGAGCTGATTGACAATAGCAAAAACTGCCCAGACTACAAGGAAAAATATAAAGGTCGTCCTGAGGGTTTGGTATGTTTTCCACCTTACGTATGTGCTTTAGTCATTTACTGGCAGAATACAGTAATAAGTGAATCTGGATTCACTATAGTGAATCTCGATTCACTAGAGTCAGAGAAATGCAGATTCGCTAACTCTAGTGAATCTCGATCACTATAGTTAGTGAATCTGGATTCACATCTTTCTGTGAATCTCGATTCACTAGAGCTAGTGAATCTGTGTTCACACTAGGGAATCACAATTCATAGCTATAGTTAATTCTAGTGAATCCAGATTCACTAGTGTGAATCCAGATTCATTAGAGTGAGTCCAGGTGAACTAACTCTATTAAATCCTGGCAAACTAGATCCAATGAATCGAGATTCACTGTCATGAATACTGTTTCCATATAAACAACTAAAACAATTTGTATATTACATTAGACATTACTGTATGATAATTTGGATTTTTTATGTGACACTGATTACTTTTGATTAAACAGCACAAGAATTTTGTGAGATATTTGGCACACAAAAAACATCACAAGTCGAGTGAAATAAAGAGATTAAGGCCTGACAGACTTGAGATGGAGTGGAGAACGGCCAAAAACGAATTTGATTGTGGTATTTTTGTCATGAGACATATGAAGACCTACATGGGTGGTGGTACAGCAAATTAGAACTCTGGTTTCCATAGAGAGGGTGTAAGTGTTTAAACTAATAATGTATTGATAATTTACAGTTAGTCTTTATGAATTAATCAAATTTAGAATATAGCTGCTAAATCTTGAAGTGAATTATTGTTCATATCGACAGGAGCGATTAAAAAATCAGCTACATAGACTGTCTATATACTGTTGCCAAATTCTTACTGATCTAACAAATGAATTGGCCAAAGAAGTCATCAGGAAAGCCCAACAGCACCATGCTGAAACTGCCAATGTCAAACAAGAGAGGAGGAAGACCACAAGATCTCAGAGAAAATGATATTCTGTCATCAACATAATTGAATTGTTGAAGTTTACAGTTATTGAGTACATTGTCAATTAATGTTATTGAATATAACAGTTTGTTTTGATCTGTTTTTCTATGTAAATATACTTTATAATATATAATAGCTTTGTCATAATTTTATTTCTAGATTTGTGAATAGTTTGGATATATAAAAATACTGTGAAGGTAATGAATGCAATTGGAAGAATTTCGATTTAAGCAGACAATGTGAGTTATAATTCAAGGTTTTGTGTAAGATTCAGTAAATTAATCATACTTATTGTGGATTGAATGTATTTAATCTGGATTCACTGGTTCAATATTATCTTAAGTTATTAGTAATTTATTTGATTGAATCTAGATTCACTATAGTGAATCCAGTTTCAATTTAACCAATCCAGATTCACTACAATGAAAGATTCAGTAAATTAATCATACTTATTGTGGATTGAATGTATTTAATCTGGATTCACTGGTTCAATATTATCTTAAGTTATTAGTAATTTGTTTGATTGAATCTAGATTCACTATAGTGAATCAAGATTCACTACAATGAATCTAGATTCACTATAGTTAGTCCAAAATCACTTAAAGCGAATCAATCAAATAATTTGATTGTTTGATTGATTATAGTGAATTCCTATAGTGAATCCAGATTCAATTCAGTGAATCCAGATTCACTACAATGAATCTAGATTCACTATAGTTAGTCCAGAATCACTTAAAGCGAATCAATTTTAATTTGATGACTGCATACAACTACTTTATCATTCCTATTGAAATAATACAACTACTAATAATGAAATTTACATGCTATATGAGTACATCTCTATTCAATATACTAACATGACACAACGTAACCATGTAATTAATAATCTAGTAAATATATGTCGTTAAGAATTACACAATTCAGCAATTCTAATAAGAAATGTATTATTAAACATGATTTTGAAACAAAATATGACAACTAAATTAAACATCACTCTGATGTAATGTTTTCTTTAATGGGCATGTCCGTGTGTCATGAAAATCGAGTTTTTTGTACATATTACACAGCCTTGGCATCTTCTTCTTTCGTTGACTAATTGATTTCTCATAATCATCAACAATTCTCCGTCCACACTCCTTGTTTCTACCTTCAATGGGAGGTTTAACAATCACTTCAGCTAGTATTTTTGAGCCAACAAAAAACTCCATTACATCATTTTTGTTTTGTGTGTCAAATTTCCCACTAGATTCACGCAAACTGTGCTCCAACTCCTTCAACTTCTCTTCCAAGTAGTCAAGTCTCTCACCATCTAAACCTGCCAAACTCACACAGAATTGGAAATCATACCATATGTCATTCAACTTGCGATTTGTAACTTCAATTGCATTGCACTGTTCTGATATTTCCTTGAACTGCAATAAATGCCTCATCTCAGCACCTTTTGTCCATCGGTTCACAACAAGATGTCTTGGTATTTTTGTTACATCAGCTTGGTTCAGTGCAAAAAAAACATGTCTACATACTATACCCATTTTCTCAAACATCTTACACGTACATTGCACGTCATTGTTCAAAACAGCGTGTTTCACCTAAAATTCAAAAAACAATTTATATTAGCACTGAATAAAAAAAAATAAAATGACAAGCGCATGAAATAGTCACTGAATCGCGATTCAGTGGTGTGAATCAAGATTCACTTCATTGAATCGCAATTCACTCTATTGAATCGCGATTCAATTTTTATTTTTTCAATCTCGATTATTAAGTTTTACCTCAAATATTTTTCCATGTCTCTTTTTGTCCTTTATGAAAAAAATCTTCAAACCATCTTGTTCTGATATACTGTTGATACTCATATCATAACAGGATGACATTATCTCTTTTAGTACCTTATAAAACATTGTTCGAGTGTACAACTCTGTTGCATCGCTCTCCAATAACAATGGCGTGTCCATTCTTGGCATCGACTTTGTTCCTTCATAGTTTAATCTTGCGTTTGTATGCCTTTGCTTATCTATAGCACTCTCATATCGGAGATAAAATTCTATCAATGTGTCAGATCTACGGTTGAATTTGTCAAAGAAACTGTTCTCACTCTCTGATATTAATGTAGTACGCAATAATCCAGCCATTGGATCATCGGCATAATAGGCTTGAATCCATGACTCCCGAATGTTATACAGTTCACACAACCCATTCATTACTTTCAAGCTTAAATTCTTTCATAACATCTTTCCAACCTACTTCAAATGTTGCTGGATCTATATCTATACTCCAAATCAGTGCATTTATCTTGCTCTTGAAATCATTCATCTTCGAAATGCATTTTGCCAACTACAATATAAATATATAACGAAAGATTCAATATTTATCTAATGAGGATTCATGATGTTTATATGTGGGATTCATTACCTTTTGGTTAAATTTCTTCATGATGTGCCACATGCACAAACGATGATGTGCTTCTCTAAAGACGGTTGGCATAGCTTGCTTCATGGCAGGGCACTGATCTGTAACAATACACTTTGGCTCGCGAATCATGCATTTCATGAATACCTCAAAAATCCAGACATAGTTATCAATGTCCTCTTTAGCTATCAATCCTGCTGCAAATACAACACACTTCTTATGATTGTCGAGCCCAGTGAATGGAACAAACTTCATGTTGTGCCTATTGTATCACATACAAAAAATATAAGATTCACTATGATATATAATTCCAATATTGCAAAATCGTAAGAGATTAACTATAAAATCTTACTTGTTCGTGGCACATGTAGAGTCAAATGATATCACATCTCCAAATACATCGTAATTTCTTCGTCCAATAACATCTGCCCAAAAAATGCGAGTTAATCAACCCCCTTCATCGACTGCATAATCATAGAAAAATCCATCACACATCTCCTTCTTATCCGTGAACTTCTCGATGATCATTTGAGCATCTCGATCACCAATATAAAGCTTCACATTCGTACTCCAATTTTTAAACTCAGTACACGTAGCACCAACATTAGAATAACTTCCACACAACTCCTTAGCAAAGTTATATGTTTTGTTAGGCTCCATGTTGGCTTTTGCACCATCAAATACAAGTTTCTTATGTGCGAGACCCATAACTCTATTTGACTTCAAAAATTGTTTCCCACTCCCGGACACCAAAAAACGAGAATACTCTTCAACGAATGAGAGAACATTATATCCTTTCAAACCATCGAACTTAAAAATGACTTTAGCTTTGCAACCACATCTACTAGATACAGTTCTCCTTCTCTTTTTTGAAATGCTACTAAAATCCTCAAAGTCAACATCCATCTTTGATTCATTGCTGCCAGCTCTACTGCAAAGAATGTGTTTAAGAAGAACTGTACCATCCTCATGTTTCTTCTCTGTATGCCATCTGATCTCAAACCCACATTTACGTCCATACTCTCGGTAAAACTCTATACCATCCTCTAGTGATCGGAAGCTTTGGTTTAGATAAGGTTTAAATTCAGCCTCAACCCGAGGTTTCCAATGCATACAACTACCTGGTGATTGAAAAGGAATCAAGCTAACTTTGTCCATTCCATCTTCCCCAAAATCACTATCTGATGCATTTATAACATGTGGTTCCTTTATTTGTTCATTGCTGCCTACAACTGAAAATAAAACAACATAAATCATATGACTAAGTTTTGATATACTGAATCTGGATCCATTACAATGAATCTGGATTCACTGGAGTGAATCTCGATTCACTGTATTGAATCCAGATTCACTACAGTAAACATGTGAATACATTATGAAAATCACTGCAGTCTCTAACATCTAGAACGTGTTCACCTGAATTCAAGCTCTCCATTTAAATCTCCATAAAATGTTTAAGAATGTAAGCTCCTAGATAATAAGTCATATGACTAAGTTTTGATATACTGAATCTGGATCCATTACAATAAATCTGGATTCCCTGGAGTGAATCTAGATTCACTGCATTGAATCCAGATTATTGCTAATTAATCTGGAGTGAATCTCGATTCACTGCATTGAATCCATATTCACTACAGTAAACATGTGAATACATTATGAAAATCACTGCAGTCTCTAACAACTAGAACGTGTTCAACTGAATTCAAGCTCTCCATTTAAATCTCCATAAAATGTTTAAGAATGTAAGCTCCTAGATAATAATGTTCGCGGGGAAAATCGTTTTCTTCATTGATGTCATTGTGATCTCAAAATAACAACTTTTTGTGGTTACAAAAGATCCGGTCTTTTTTAGATCCGGTTACAACGAAATCAAAGAAAATAAAAAAAAATTACAACTTTCTCCTTGTGAACAAATCGCGAGCTCCTGTTTTGCGGTCACTCGCTTTTGTGGGTTCTTTGCCAACGCTGGGGTTAATCCGTGGACCACCGCGCGATCTAGATCCGGTCGGATCTACACGATTCGACGGGTATTATTCCACGAAGGGAATAATAGCCGGGAGGGATTAGTTCACTAAGGAAATAATCACTCGGATCTCGGGATCTAAGACCAAGCTTAGATCCGGAGTGTGATCTCGTGTAGATCTCAGATCTGTTCTTCCCCTCTCTCGAACTCCTGCCTTTTGTGACGTGGATGCTCGCCGAGGATCAGATCTGGATGTCCAAGTCTTCAAGTCTTCAAAACTCTAAGCTCGATCTTCAATCCGGCAGAGTTTCGGCTCTCAAAAGTCCAACCTTTGAAAATGAACAAAAGGGGGCCTATTTATAGGCTACCCTCACTGTGCCTTGGGCACAGTGCAGCCGGCCACCTTGAGGTGGCTCGGCTCTGGGCCGGCCACCTCAAGGTGGCTCGGCCACCGAGCCACCTCAGGGTGGCTCGGCTTTGGCCGAGTCACCTTGAGGCGGCTCGGTTTTGGCCGAGCCCCTCTGGGTTTGCTGTTTTTTCCGTCGTTTTGCGCTGTATCCGTTTCTCGGTTCTGTCCGTGATTCGGTTGACTTAGATTCTGATTTTGTTGATCTGATTTGGCAGTAAATCCGCTTCTGATTTGGCAGTAAATCTGCTTCTGAGTTCGAGTCCGAAACTGATCTTGATTCGATCGTGATTCGTCCGAGTTTGTCTTTGGTTGGATCACTCGTTGACTCTTCAACACTTGGCTTGATTCCGAACGCGAATGGATTTATTCCGTTGCTTGCGTGCGATTCGTCGCCTCGTTGGTTCGTCGGTTTGTGCCGAGCTGTGCTAAGGGACCTATAAGTAATTTTATATGCCTACAGATACCCCCTCCAAAGTATTTCAGTCTCGTTCTTTTATAGAAGAGTCTGGAATACTTTGGATATGATTGTCCCAACCTTCAGTCGGCGTAATGGGACTTTGGAATGACTTCCGTTCTTGATTCCTTCAATCTTCCAGGCTATTCGGTGCTTTGTCGAATGTCTGTAAGAGTTCCGGTGCTGCATTTATTGTCTGACCGTTGTCGGAATTTTTAAACTTGAAGTCGATTCCTGACTTTCTAATCTTTAGCTGACCATCGATTGTTGGCGTCGAGTCTTTATCTGCAACGCGTTGTCCGGCGTCGTGTTGTTGAGTTATCCTTAAGAATATTTATGAAAACATTCTCCAGGAACTTCTCAACGAAAATTAGGGAACAGTTTATACTCATATACCTTATTGGAGTATTTTCTGTGTCCAAATGAGCTGAACCGGCTTGATAATGAGCCAAAAAAGGCAGTAATTCGGCTCAAAAAATCTTCTGATTTTTCCGAACATGTGGGAGAGGCAAGAATAATTCAAGGACTGAATCCTCTAACGATTTGAAGTTGTTTCGATGCTCGATTCGGCTTCAATTTGGATTCTGGTTCAAACCCGGTCTGGTCCGGTTCAAGGCCGGTATGGTTCAAGGCCGGTTCACCCTACAAAAGGGGTCTTTTTTCTTTTCTTTTCCCTCACCTAGGGCCGGCCACCTCTCTCTCCTCTTTTTTGAATTTCTCTTCCCTCGAGCATCCGTTCTCCCTCAAAACTTGATATCCGTCTTAGATCTAGCATTCCTTTGGATCTTTGACTGAGAAATCCCTCGAAACTTCCATTTTTAGAATTTCTCTCAGGCCCCTCGAGCGCGTGGTTCGAGCACTTTTCAAGATCTAATTTTTATTGGATCTTCGAGCTTTCCCTCAGGTATATCTTCCATAATTTTAGCATTTTTTTATGCTTAATTTAATTTATGAACTTGTGGGATTGCATGCGAGGGTTAGGATTATGATTTGGCGCCTCGAGCTTATCTTTCAGGGGGTAGAATTGCAATAAAAAGAGGATTTTTTCTAGATCTGACCTCTTGATTTATTTTGTAGGTCATTATGTCGCGAGTCTCGAGAGGTCGTTCCCCTGCTGTATCGACTGACGGCGTGCTTCCTTCATATGCTGGTGAGCTATTTTTTGCATATTCGAAATTTTACAAATTAGCCCTCTTTTTTCTGAAAATTTGCAAATTGGTCCTTTTAACCCCACGTTGTTCTCCTTGGTGAGGCAATCGGGAGAGCCTTGATTCTCCTTGGTGAGGATCGACGCTTTAAAAATAGAAATTTTACAAATTAACCCTCTTTTTTCTGAAAATTTGCAAATTGGTCCTTTTACCCAACGTTGTTCTCCTTGGTGAGGCAATCGGGAAGAGCATTGATTCTCCTTGGTGAGGATCGACGCTTTAAAGATAGGTTTTGCTTGGTCAAAACCATATCTCAAAATAAAGGGGGCGTTTTGACGCTGCATTGTGTTTTATAAGGCAGGGATATATTGTCGATATGCCCTATCTTATAAATGCACAATGTGGCCAAATCGTCTCACCCTTTATAAGGTAATGACTCTATCTTACCGATTTGTAAGATGAGTTCAATTTCCTTTTATACCTGAAATTAACAAACACTTAATTGCTTGTTTTCAGTGGAGTATCCTTCCGGAGCCTTTTCATCGCATGCGGTGAATGGACGTCGTGACGAATATTATTCTACGTCTGATGATTTTTTGCCGATTCCACCTGCTTCCCAGTTTGTTCCGGGCACGTCGACAGAGGTTGCCCAAGTGGTGAAGGAAGGTGGACATCGAGCCCTTCGTCAGCTGATTACAGATGCGCCCCTCGTGAAGGATGCTAGTTCCGTTCAGTCTCTCAGGAAGACT